TCATATATTTGCTGATTGATTGTATATCTTCTTCTGAGAAGTGTCTTTTCAGTTCCTTGGCCCATTTACTGATTGAGTTGTTTTTTTGGTGTCAATTTTTTTGAGTTCTTTCTATATCCTAGAGATTAGTGCTTTATCTGATGTGTATGTGGTAGAAATTTGCTCCCATTCTGTAGGCTCTGTATTCACCTCTCTAATCATTTCTTTTGCTGAGAAGAAGCTTTTCAGTTTGAATCCATCCCATTTATTGATTCTTAATTTTATTTCTTGTACTATAGGAGTTTTATTAAGGAAGTTGGGGGTCTAATCTGACATTATGAAGATGTGGGCCTACTTTTTCTTCTATTAGATACAGGGTCTCTGGTTTAATTTCTAGGTCCTTGATGCACTTTGAGTTGAGTTTTGTGCATGGTGAGAGATAGGGACTTAATTTCACTTTGCTGCATGTGGATTTCCAGTTTTCCCAGCACCATTTGTTGAAGAGGCTATCCTTTCTCCAATATATGTTTTTGGTGCTTTCATCTAGTATGAGATAACTATTTATGTGGGTTTGTCTCTGTGTCCTCTATTCTGTAGCATTGGTCTACAAGTCTATTTTGGTGCCAATACCATGTCATTTTTGTTACTATTGCTCTATAGTATAGTTTAAAGTCTGGTACAGAGATGCCACCTGCTTCACTCTTGCTAAGGATTGCTTTGGCTACTCTGGGCCTCTTATTTTTCCAAATAAATTTCATGATTGCTTTTTCGAGTTCTGTGAAGAATGACATTGTGATTTTAATAGGAATTACATTAAATCTGTATATTGCTTTTGGTAGTATGGTCATTTTGACAATATTAGTTCTTCCTATCCAAGAACAAGGGAGATATTTCCATCTTCTAAGGTCTTTAATTTCTTTCTTTAGCATTCTGTAGTTTTCATTGTAGAGGTCTTTCACCTCTTTTGTTAAGTTGATTCCCAAGTTTTTTTTTTTTTTTTGAGGCTATTGTAAATGGGGTAGTTTTCCTAATTTCTCTTTTAGAGGATTTGTCACTAATGTACAGAAATGCCTTAGATTTATGGATGTTAATTTTATATCCTACTGCTTTGCTGAATTCATTTATTAGTTCTAGAAGTTTTCTGGTGGAATTATTTGGATCCTATAGGTATAGAATCATTTTGTTGGCAAGTAGTTGGCAGGGCGTCCTCTTTCATCCACTGTCCACTGTGTAGAGAGTTTTTCTTTTTCTATCCATATCCCTTTAATTTCTTTCATCTGTCTAATTGCTCTGGCTAGAGTTTCAAGAACTATGTTAAATAGAAGTGGTGAAAGAGGGCATCCCTGTCTTGTTCCAGTTTTTAGAGGGAATGCTTTTAATTTTCTCCATTTAGAATGATGTTGGCCATGGGCTTAGCATAAATAGCTTTTACAATGTTGAGATATGTTCCTGTTATCCCTAGTTTTTCCAGTGTTTTG